CGTTGAATAATGTTTCATGTGCTGATATAACAGGATTCATTTGACTATTTTTTGAATAATTTGTTTCCACTTGTTGCAATTAGGGATTTTGTAACAAAGTTCTTCCTGTATTTATGTTTGAATATATGTTCTAGGATAGATAGCCCCTTGGTTATGGACACATCATTTTTAATTTTAGATCTGTGAACTACCCTTAGAAGATGCTGTCTCAGTAGATGAGAGAATGCATTTCTCTACATTCTTACAAAATCTTTATTTGATTTCTTTCTTTCTTTCCTTCTTTCTTTCTTTCTTTCTTTCTTTCTTTCTTTCTTTCTTTCTTTCTTTCTTTCTTTCTTTCTTTCTTTCTTGGGTCTCATGTAGCCTTGGCTATTCTCAAACTCATCACATGGCTGAGGGTGACTTTTTTAAATTTTTTCTGCTTCTCGGATACCTCACTCAGGATGATCTTTTCTAGTTCCCACCATTTGCCTGCAAATTTCATGATTTCCTTGTTTTTAATTGCTGAGTACTATTCCATTGTGTAGATGTACCACAGTTTCTTTATCCATTCCTCTGTTGAGGGACATCTGGGTTGTTTCCAGGTTCTGGCTATTACTAATAAACCTGCTACAAACATGGTTGAACAAATGTCCTTGTTGTATACTTGAGCATATTTTGGAGTGATATAGCTGGATCTTGAGGTAGCACTGTTTAGAATTTCCTGAGAAAGCACCAGATTGATTTCTAAAGTGGTTGTACAAGTTTACATTCCCACCAGCAATGGAGGAGGGTTCCCTTTTTCCACTTCCTCTCCTGCATGTGTTGTCACTTGAGGGTTTTTTTTTTTTTTTTAATCTTAGCTATTCTGATGGGTGTAAAGTGAAATCTCAGGGTTGTTTTGATTTGCATTTCCCTGATGACTAAGGACGTTCAACATTTAAGTGTTTCTCTGCCATTCGATATTTCTCTATTGAGAATTCATTGTTTAGCTTTATATCCCATTTTTTCTTTTTTTTTTAACTGTTGAGCCATCTCCTTTTTTTGCATTTTATTTATTTTATTAATTACACTTTATTCATTTTGTATCTCCCATAAGTCCCTCCCTCCTCCCCTCCTCATCCCACCCTCCCTCCCCTTTCTGCATGCATGCCACTCCCCAAGTCCACTGATAGGGGAGGTTCTCCTCTCCTTTCTGATCTTAGTCTATCAGTTCTCATCAAAAGTGGCTGCATTGTCCTCTACCTGGTAAGGCTGCTCCTCCCTCAGAGGGAGGTGATCAAAGAGCAGGCCAATCAGATTATGTCAGAGGCAGTCCCTCTTTCCATTACTATGTAACCCACTTGGACACTGAACTGCCATGGGCTAACTGGATTATTTGCTTTGTTGCTGTTTAACTTCTTAAGTTCTTTATATATTCTGAATATTAGCTCTCTGTCAGATATAGGTTTGGTGAAGATCCTTTCCCAGTCTGTAGGTTGTCTCTTTGTTATAACTACAGTGTCCTTTGCTTTACAGAGGCTTTTCAGCTTCATGAGGTTCCATTTATTGATTGTTGATCTTAGAGTCTGTGCTGTTGGTGTTCTGTTCAGGAAGTTGTCTCCTGTGCCAATGAGTTCAAGGCTCTTCCTCACTTTTTCTTCTAATAGGCTTAGTGTGTCTGGTTTTATTTTATATATGGATATTTGGGTAGAATTATGAATCCTGAATAAAATTAATACAGCAGGAAAACACTTGCCATTCAAGAAAGACTAAGAAGCTAGGCGTGGTGGCTCATGCCTGTAATCCCACAGCTCTGCAAGCCAGAAGTAGGTGAATCTCTGTGAGTTCAAAGCCTGGTCTACAAAATTAGTCCTGGACAGGCAAGGCTACACAGAGAAACCCTGTCTTGAAAAAAAAAAAACTGAGAAATGGCTGAAGTTAAATCAACCTGTCATTTTTAAGACCAAAACAAGCTGGGTAGTTGGTGGCACATGTCTTTAATCCCAGCCCTTGGGAGGCAGAGGCAGGCAGATCTCTACAAATTCTATGAAGTCTGATCTACAAAGCAAGTTCCAGGACAGCCAAAACTACACAGAGAAACCCTGCCCCCCAAAACAAAACAACAACAAAAAAGCCAAAACCAAAACAATATATACGAGGCATTTTGACAAGCATTCTCAGTTGATACAACTGTTTCCCAAGCAGGGTCCTGTTGAGGACAAGCATGTTGCTCTTCCTGGATTTTATGTGAATTCTGGAGACTGAACCTCAGGTTCTAATGCTCGTATGGCAAGCATGTTACTAATTAAACTGTTGCCACAGCCATTAACTTTTTAAATTAATTTTTATATTAGTTACAGTTTATTAACTTTGTATCCCAGCTGTAGCCCCCTCCCTAGTTCCCTCTCAATCCCACCCTAGCCACTAACTTTTTAAATAAAAATGTCATATATAAGTAATAGGACAACAAAAGCCAGCTGTTACACCATTATTCTGGTCTTTGCTCAAAGCTTCATCTTCCAAGTTCATATGAGTATGGCCACCCCACCCCACTTCAGTTATCACTTTTGAGTCAACCATCCTGCTCTATTTCCATTCTAGCATTGTTAAATATCTCTTATTAAATTATACATTCACTAGTTTATATTTATTTGTCTTTCCCATTAGTGTATAAGGTTATATTCCTATTTCTGGAAACAATATGAAACTCTAGGAAGCATGTAAAATATTAGCTTAATGAGAAGATAGAGAAATGTATTCTTCAAGACATCAACAATAGGCAAAATAATCAAGATATTTGTACTACACATAACTAATGGTTCTGGGAGCTTTACTTTTTTAATTATTTTTATTTTTATTAATTACAGTTTATTCACTTTGTATTCCCCCTGTACCTCCCTCCCTTCTTCCCTCCCAATCCCACCCTCCTTCTTCCCCACCCATGTCCCTCTCCCAGTCCACTGAAAAGGGAGGTCCTCCTCCCCTTTCCTCTGACCCTAGTCTATTAGGTCTCCTCAGGAATGGCTGCATTGTCTTCTTCTGTGGACTGGTAAGGCTGCTCCCCCCTTAGTGGGAGTTGATCAAAGAAAAGGCCAATCAGTTCATGTCAGCAGGTCAATCAGTCCCTGTCCCCATTTACTATGGAGGCTACTTGGATACTGAACTGCCATAGGCTACCTCTGTGCAGGGGTTCCAGAACATTTCTATGAGTGGTCCTTGACTGGAGTATCAGTTTCAGAAAAGATGCCTGTGCCCAGAATTTTAGGATCTGTCGTTGTCTTTGTGGAGCTTCTGTCCTCTCCAGGTCTTACTATCTCCACTTCTTTCATAAGATTCCCTGTACTCTCCCCAAAGTTTGGCTATGAGTTTCAACATCTGCCTCAATACCCTGCCAGGTAGAGCCTTTCAGAGGCCCTCTGTGGTATGCTCCTGTCCTGTTCCCTGTTTTCTCCCTCCTCTGATGGCTATCCTCTTTGCCTTTCTGAATGGGGATTGAGCATCTTAGCCAGAGTCCTCCTTCCTGATTAGCTTCCTTAGGTGTACAGATTTTAGTTTGTTTACCTTATATTATATGTCTAGTGTCCACTTATGAGTGAATATATACCCTGTGTGTCTTTCTGCTTCTGGGATACCTCACTCGGAATGATCTTTTCCAGTCCCTACCATTTACCTGCAAATTTCATGATTTCCTTGTTTTTATCGCTAAGTAATATTTCATTGTGTAGATGTACCACAATTTCTGTATCCATTCCTCAACTGAGGGGCATTTGGGCAGTTTCCAGCTTCTGGCTATTACAAATGGGACCTCCTGAAACTGAAAAGCTTCTGTAAAGCAAAGGACACTGTCATCAAAACAAAACTACTGACTACAGATTGGGAAAGACTCGTCATCAACCCTCTATCTGACAGAGGGCTAATATCCAGGAAATATAAAGAACGTAAAAAGTTAAACAGCAACAAATCAAGTAATCCAATTAAAAGATGGGGTACAGAGCTAAACAGAGAATTCTCTGTAGAGGAATATCGAATGGCAGAGAAACACTTAAAGAAATGTTCAACATCCTTAGTCATCAGGGAAATGCAAATCAAAATGACCCTGAGATTTCACCTGACACCCATCAGAATGGCTAAGATGAATAACTCAAGTGACAACACATGCTGGAGAGGATGTGGAGAAAGGGGAACCCTCCTCCACTGCTGGTGGGAATGTAAACTTGCACAACCACTTTGAAAATCAATCCGGCGCTTTCTCAGACAATTAGGAATAGCACTTCCCCAAGATCCAGCTATACCACTCCTAGGCATATATCCAAAGGTGCTCAAGTACACAAAAAGGACATTTGCTCAACCATGTTTGTAGCAGCTTTATTTGTAATAGAGCTTTACTTTTATAAGAACTTTTTGTGTCACTAAAAAACCTAATATGCGTTCATTTGCTAAAACATCTCTCAGCTGCCTAGTTAGTTCATTCCATTTTCTATGCAAGGAATCACAAGAGTGAAATATTTAGCTTCTCTAAAACCAACCTTTTACCTGTCACAAAAAACTCACTTATTTCTATGACACTCTTTAAATTAAGTGCATTTCAAATTACTTATACTCCATAGGATTGTTTTATTCTAAAGAAAAAAAGATGATTTATACCTAAACAATTTGTTAGAATGTTTCAATGAGCTTGTGTGTTACTCTGGGGAGAGTCTGTGCTGAAAAGATGGTTAGTTCCTGAGTCAGAACACTGACTCACCAAAGTGTGGTGGGAGTTTTTGGGTGGGTCTTTCTGATGGCCAGGTTATATCCGTAGTTTTTATTCTAAGTATTCAATTCAAACACAATCTTTGTTATTTCCTTTAAGCTGAAGATCCCCGGTTGTTACCACACCCGTTAAACAAGTTTCTTTCAAATGACTCGCTATTGCACCCAGCCCTTAAAGTCTCAACTGTCCTAGTAGCTAGCACATGTACCTGAGAACCACTATCAACACGTAAGGAGTGCAGAGGTTCCCTCTATATTAACGCCAGCAATCACTGGGTCAGCACGTTATGAATAGGTAAGTAGTAATTTGCCTGCCTGCAACTCTGACAAAGTAGAATTTTACTGCCTGCGCCATTTGAGACTCACTGTAAGGACTGTGGCAGCATAATTATATTTAGGTGGAGAATATAAAGTGATTTGACAGCTTTTTGAAATTGCAGCATGGAGACACATTGTCGCAAACACGCAATCTAAGGTGCTAAGCGCTGGTTTGAGGGCTGCTTCAAAAAGGGGCATGTAACTTACCACCCCGTGAATGAAAAACGGGGTGACTGTGTGACTACTGTCTAGTAAAGAGGCAATAGCGGTGACATTTTATTTTCTTGTGATTTAAATATGAAATAGTAGCTAGTAATGACGATGACCATGGACTCTGTATTTGTGGACTAATTCATGCTTTCTACCATACATTCATAAATATCTTGGGTTTCACAGTACTATTACTACGTGGATATTCTCTGTAAAGATGTAAATGTATATCTTGCATTAATATTTTTCTGAAGTATGTTATTGAATCTTTATATTTAGGTAAAATCAGCCCAACATCATATCTATACTGATAACATCCATTGTAATTCTAAATGTATTGTTAGAATGGATGTAATAATTGTGATAGAGTATACTAAGATCATCTTTCTTGATTTAAAAAAATATTGTGTGCTTTTGTTTTGTATTAAAGATGTTATTTTATTCATGACATTAATTTTTATCATTTTTCATTATCTCTGACATATCAATAAAAGGGGCATCAACCAAATTTAAGTTTAAAAAATCCAGTATGATTGGATTTTTTGTTTGTTTTTGTAAATAGTTATCACCTTTATTCTGGGTGGATGACAGAGTTGATTTATGGTGCATTTCATTCTTTCTCCATTACTAGTTTACACCTGTGTGAAGTCCTAAGTTAAGAAAAAAGTAACAGGATTAAACCACTGTTTCAAGAATTTTGATTTACCTAGGCTGGCTCATGCCCTAATAAGGTACTCAGCTTCTCAGTGTAAGACACTGCACAAGTACATTACTGACCTTGGAAGGATTAGGAAATGTGGTTGATTGTGCTGGTGGCTTTAAGGAGGTCTGGTGAACTTTGGGATGCATGTAAGTGCTTGAATGATGAATGGTTGCATGCACTGAAAACAGCATCAGATGTAGAAGTACATTTTAAAATCAAATGTCATCATTTTCAATGTTTTCTTAGCTTTAGGCACAGGCTATAGAATAGAAAAAAAATCCAGAGCAATCTGTTTTAGAGCTTTGTGAACATGACAGTGAGAAGTTCATGCTCAATAGTTCTCACGGCAAATATGTATTGTATTCCATATCATCTGAAAGTATCTCTTATGAGATTTTCCTAAAGAATATATGGCCAAATATCAGAAGCTGGCTAACAGTGGGATGATTTTTCTTTTGTGCTTGAGAAGTTTTCTTGTGTTTGGTAGCACTTATTTAAGCACTAGATTAATTAATTAATTAAGTCTGTAATGCTTTTAGATGATTGCAAAAGACAGCTAAAACTCAGAAAAAATATCTGATCAGTGACATGAAACAATCACGGTGGGACACGGGTAGGAAATGAAATATAAAATCCTGTATCTTGTGGTAATTTCAATGGCTGATATCAATAAGAAGAAACCTGTTTTAATATTTTCCTTCAAACCAAAGGCTAAACTAACAGTAAGAAATTTTGTTTGTCAAAGGTTTAATAGAAGTAACTATCTTGTGCTTTTATTAGACTATAAGTTATATATACCAAACGAGATAGAAAAGTTAAATATCTATAGTGTACAAAAAACATGTTCTGAAATAAGTTTCTAAACAGGGCTAATCAGAAGAAGGAGCATGAACATTAATCTGAAATTAAGATACAATTAGAACAATAATAATTTGTAAATGTTCAAGGAAGACAGACAAGCAAAGGGTGTGGGGTGAGACTAGGGACCCTTCAGTGGGAAACACAGAGCTGGAGCTGGGAGCTCTGAGCTGAGTAAGTGGTCAGTAGGCAGGTTGAAGCCTTAACTGCTTTAAGAGCCACCAAGCTCTTAGAATGGAAAGCTCAGGAGACACACTAAAAGCTTATGACAACATGATCACTGTTAGACTGGAAACAAATATTTTACCTTGGAAAGAGAAATTCTAATTTTGTGAAGCTTTAAAACCCTCTCACAGACCAATCCGATTTAACAGTCTCTATTCTTTCTGCGTGTGGTTGCTTGCCCAGTTCCTACCATGTGGTTCTTTAGTCAGTCGTCAGCAATGAGTGTCTGCTGTGGGCTGGAATTCTGTAAGTCCTTCCACTCCCAAGTTTGAAGACTGATTTTTTTTTTTTTTTTTTTTTTTTTTACTCCTCAAATGATCTCCTGTAGGCTTCAGTTTGCACTCCCATTTAAAACATAGTCCTTCCCCTTTCTTAATGTAATTCCCAAGTTCGGGCAAATATTTTTAGTCTGTAAATCTTCTCAAATTCTTTATTTTTCTTTCCCTTCTTCATATCATCCCCCAGGCTCCCATTGTTCCATCCCAACCATTTATAATAGTTTCAGTTCTGGTTGTCTTTATCTGTTATGTTTATCTTTTTTCAGTTGTAGTCATGTGTGCTGCCTGCCAGTGTTTTTCTTTCTAAGCACTGTAAGCTTCCATGTTCGTAGTTTTGAGAGGATAAAGCTACAAGTCGTAAACAGTCTGAATCCCTTTGCTCACTGTATCCTCCAAGAGGCAGTTGCTGATCTGCCTGTTTTCATTCATCTGCTTGCTCTACAAGTATCTGTGATGCTAGGTTCCAGACCATGGTCAGAGTATAAAAAGCAATACACAACGATGCAGCCCTCGGCCACAGGATGCTAATGATGAGAAGGAAAATGACGACATGTAAAAATTAAATGTATTCTCAATGTACGACCATAAGAGGGTTGGCCATGATAGAAGATGCCAGGGAAGAGAAGATGTTAAAATAAAAAGATGATGTTTGAGTGACAGATCACTGGGAGAAGAAGAGGGTAATATATCAGGCAAAATAACTGAGGGCATAACAAGGGCGTGGAGTTAGACTGCAGTTTGTCCACAGAACCTCGAGCTGTTTGACATGCACTGAACCCACATTATCTCCAAGAGCCAGATTCATCACTCAATGTGGTGCAAGAACTATACCGACAACCACCAGTTATTCTTTGAGCATCTCATGTTGTTTTCCTTCTCCCTAAACTGTCTGTCTGCCCAGACTTTTTTTTTTTTGATAAATTCCTGTAGATTCTAATCTCAATTTAGTCCAAGTCATTCAGCCACATAGGTTGCTATAAAACGTAATACGTACCCAACTTTTAGATCTATTGCCACATGCTCTTATAGAAAGGATCTATTTATACCACAACAATAAGCGAATAATAGGGACAGACACAGCTCTCACCAATATAGGACTTGATATCTTCATGTGTATTGTGAATGTGGTAATAATATTGAAGCGTGATCATATTTCAAACTGTTTAGATAGTGTTAGCCATTAAAAACTCCTCCCCTCCTGTCTGATATCTTTCTTGACTGATACTAACTCTATTTCTTTCCATTGATAACAGGAAAGAACTAGATCCCCCAAACAGTAGGCATGACAGCAGCAAGAATATTCTGGAAAAATGCTTTTACAGTTGGGAAAAGAAAGACCATTTCATAGTGTAGACTTTTAAGGAAAGAAGCACTGTTTATTTTTAAATTTAATTTTATGTATATATTTATTACAATTTATTCACTTTTCTATCCCCGCTGTGACCCCCTCCCTCATCTCCTCCCAGGCCTACCCTCCCTCGAGCTTTTCCTCCTATGCCCATTCCCTAGTCAAGGGAAGCACTTTTTAATCTTTTCTCTTTCCTCTATTTTTATTTAAGATTTTTATTACATTTCACTTATTTGTGTGTGTGTGTGTGCACGCACATGTGAACACATGCATATGCACACAGGCTTATGTGTTCACTCCATGGTACATAAGTGAACATTACAGAACAAACGACAGGACAGGGTTATCTCCTTTCACCATGTGGGTTCACGGTGCTCATCAGCAAGCACTTTTTTCCCCACTGGGCCATCTTGTTAACCTTTTCCCTTCTTTTCTTCGACGTCTTCTAATACTTCTGCACCTAATTGTGGGCATTTTACAGGCAGTAGAATAAAGTAGTACAGATCTGAGAAATTAGTATGGTTTTTATATTTTTTAATATTAATCACAGGTTATTTACTTTATATCCCAGCTATAGCCCCCTCCCTCACTCCCAAACCCAACCTTCTTTCCTCATCTCCTCCCTGTCCCTTTCTAAGTCCACTGCTAGGGGATGTCCTCCTCCCCTTCCATCTGACCCTAGCTTATCAGGTATCTTCAGGACTGGCTGCAGTGTCCTCCTCTGTTTTATGATGTATTTTTCATGTCCTTCATTTGCAGAACAGCCATAGTATCCCGCAAATCCTCCCCCCGGTGGAGAATCATCCTCGGAGTGCTTGGCGTGTTGGCAGCCCTTGGGCTAATGATCGGACTCTTAGTTCACTTTCTTGCAGTAGGTTGGTGTACAGTTGCACTGATTTCTCCTCGCTGTGCTGTTTATTTCTATTACTGCGATATATAAAGAGGCAATCGCAATCTATGAATTATCTCCCTCTATAGCGGCGTTAGGGACCTCAGGTCCTGCAAGAAAGAATCACTAGCATTTACAAATGTACTGTGGAAACACTCCTCATCCATTCAGGTACAAGAATGAATATCAAGTTAAACACAAGTGAGCAGATAACTGATAGACAAGCAAAATAATTTATTCTGCCATGTGGAATGTTTGTTAACTTTGTAATTAAAGTTTTATGATTATTGTATTTGGAGAAGAGAATTCAAGGTATTTTGATATTTCAGCTAGTTGTTTATTATTAAGAAAGGCAATAAATAGATTAAAAATGTTAGACATTATTAAAATAGAATCTTATTAGTTTACCTCCTTCCCCTTGCTCCTCCAGCCTCTTCCAGCTAGCTTTCCTTCAACCCTTCCTATGTCTCCTACCTTTATATAGCCCCATTTTCTTTTATTATTATTGTTACACACACATGCACATGCACACATACACAAATATATAAATACCACCTGCTGAGTATATCTTTTTTTTTTGGATATATACATTTATGGTGTCAGGGTTGACTACTGTGTATTGGATGAGCAATTAAAGGACTAATTATCCCTCTTCCAACTATTAGTTTGATGCCTGTACTTCTTGTCTAGGGGTGGGGACTCATGAAATCTTCGTGTTAACGTGTTCATTGACATTCTTGTAAAAGATTTTTCATATAATATACACTAAATACATCAGAAACAAATGGACATCTAAGGAATCACAATAAAATAAAAATCAAACAAATCAAAATAGGACAAATCAATCAAACAAACAAACAAGACACAGAAGTAAAGAAAAGAAGCACAAGAAGTGTAAACGTAGAGAAACACATGCTCCCCCACACAGGAACCCCATAAAAGCACAAAGCCGGAAGTCACAGTGTCCATGAAAAGTGTCAATATGTTTACAAAAACGTCCTGACTTAATGAAGAACTTCCAAAGATGCTGTTGAGTCCACTTTGTGTTGGACATCTACTGTGAGCGTATGAACTTCTTTAGGAGTGTTTTGTTTCCCCAGAGAGATTCCCTTGGAAAGAACTGAATTTTCATTTGGAAATGGTTATCCATTGGAGATAGCTTCTGGCTTAGGAATGGAGACCTGTGGCCAATTCTCCATTCAGCTCTAAGATCCCATGTCATGCAGACTTGTGCAGGCCCTGCATGCAGCCATGTCTAAGACTGTTTCACAGCAGACTTCCTGATATTCTGGCTCTAACAACCTTTCCACACCCTATTCCACACCCTATGTTTTCTGAGCCGTAGATTCAGGAACTGTGATATGGATGTATGCATTCAGGCTGGCCTTTCTGTGATCTGTTGGATTCTTAATTTTATCCAATCGTGGTTTTCCGTGATAGCTTCCATTTCTTGTAAAGAGAAACTTCTTTGATGGGGTCATATCTGCGCTTGTCTGGTATCTGCGGTTACTCTATATTATATACTCACATCTGAAGATATGGAGCCAGCAACTTCAGATGAGAGAGAACATGTGGCATTTGTTATCTTCGTCTGTCTGGGATACCTCACCAATATAATATTTCTTAGGTCCATCCCTTTCCCTGAAAATTTCACTTTTCTCTACAGCTGAATAATATTTCATTGTGCACATGTAACACATTTATATTATCTATCCATCTGTTGAAGGACACTTAGGTTGTTTCCAGTTCCCAGCTATCATGAGTACAGTAATGAACATTGCAGAGCAAATGTCTGTGGAGCCCATTGGGCATATGCCAAGGGGTGGTCAAGCTGGGCCATATGGTAGATTTTCAAAAAGGATTTTCCATTCTGATTTCCAGAGCTACTGCACTAATTTTCATTCCCATCAATAGTGAATGAGGGTTCCTTTTCCCTTAAATCGGCACCAGCATTTATTGTTAGTTATTTTGTTGATCTTTAGTACTCTTACTGGAAATTATCTTTTGAAAATAGCAAATGTCTCTTGACATTATCTATACTATATATAAGATATGATATATATCAATTAGATTAGCATCTGTGAAAATTGAGGAATATAACATATTAATTGTAGGCCTTGGAGTTAGATGATTGAGTTTTTTTTTTTTTCCAAATTAGCACTTGTTTATTTTCTGACAGTCTGTAAGCCTGTGCCATTGGGGTGCTTGGTGTCTTGTCATACTGAGTGCCTGTCCTTTAATGTAGGAGGGGTCCTTAGATGACCTCTGCTCTCACGTTCTCCTGATAGCTTCTCACTCGGTCTTCTTTCTTTCTTTTTTTTTAAATTTTTTTATTAATTACACTTTATTCATTTTGTATCCCCCCATAAGCCTCTCCCTCCTCCCCTGCCAATCCCACCCTCCGTTCCCTTTCTGCATGCATGCCCCTCCCCAAGTCCCCTGATAGGGGAGGTTCTCCTCTCCTTTCTGATTTTTGTCTATCAGTTCTCATCAAAAGTGGCTGCATTGTTCTCTACTGTGGCCTGGTAAGGCTGCTCCCCCCTCAGGGGGAGGTGATCAATGAGCAGGCCAATCAGATTATGTCAGAGGCAGTCCCTCTTCCCATTACTATGTAACCCACTTGGACACTGAACTGCCATGGGCTACACCTGTGCAGGGGTTCCAGGTCATCTCCACGAATAGTCCTTGGTTGGAGTATGATTTTCTGGGAAGTTCCCTGTGTTCAAATTATCTTGTTCTGTTGCTCTCCTTGTGGAGTTCCTGTCCTCTCCAGCTCTTACTATTTCCCACTTCTTATATAAAATTCCATTCACTCTGCCCATCAGTTGGCCATCAGGCTCAGCATCTGCTTTGACACTCTATACTGCAGAAGCTTTCAGAGGCCCTCTGTGGCAGGTTTCAAGGTTGTTTCCTGTTTTCTTCTGGCTTTCAGAGGCCCTCTGTAGCAGGTTCCGAGGTTGTTTCCTATTTTCTTTTTCTTCTGATGTCTATCCTCTTTGCCTTTCAGGATGGGGATTGAACATTTTAGTTAGGGTCCTCTCTTTTGCTTAGTTTGTTTAGATGTACAGATTTTAGTGGGTTTATTCTATCTTGTATGTTTATGAGTGAGTATATACCGTGTGTGTCTTTTTGCTTCTGGGACAACTCACTCAGGATGATCCTTTCCAGGTCCCACCATTTACCTGCAAATTTCATGATTTCCTTATATTTCATTGCTGAGTAATACTCCATTGTATAGATGTACCGCAGTTTCTGCATCCATTCTTCAGTTGAGGGGCATCTGGGTTGTTTCCAGCTTCTGGCTATTACAAATAAAGCTGCTACAAACATGGTTGAGCAAATGTTCTTTTTGTGTACTTGTGCCTCTTTTGGGTATATGCCTAGGAGTGGTATGGCTGGATCTTGAGGAAGCGCTATTCCTAGTTGTCTGAGAAAGCGCCAGATTGATTTCCAGAGTGGTTGTACAAGTTTACATTCCCACCAGCAGTGGAGAAGGGTTTCCCCTTTCTCCACAACCTCTCCAGCATGTGTTGTCACTTGAGTTTTTTATCTTGGCCATTCTGAAGGATGTAAGGTGAAATCTCAGGGTTGTTTTGATTTGCATTTCCCTAATGGCTAATGAGGTTGAACATTTCTTTAAGTGCTTCTCTGCCATTCGATATTCCTCTACAGAGAATTCTCTCTTTAGCTCTGTTCCCCATTTTTTAAGTGGATTACTTGGTTTATTGCTTTTCAGCTTGTTTAGTTCTTTATATATATTGAATATGAGTCCTCTGTCAGATAAAGGGTTGGTGATGATTCTTTCCCAATCTGTAGGCAGTCGCTTTGTTTTGATGACAGTGTCCTTTGCTTTACAGAAGCTTTTCAATTTCATGAGGTCCCATTTATTGATTGTTGCTTTTAGAGCCTGTGCTGTTGGTGTTCTGTTCAGGAAGTTTTCTCCTGTACCAATGAGTTCTAGGGTATTCCCCACTTTTTTTTCTAGCCGATTTAATGTGTCTGGTTTTATGTTGAGGTCTTTGATCCACTTGGACTTCAGTTTTGTGCAGGGTGATAAGTATGGATCTATTTTCATTTTTCTACATGTAGACATCCAGTTGGACCAGCACCATTTGTTGAAGATGCTATCTTTTTTCCATTGTATGATTTTGGCATCTTTGTCAAAAATCAGGTGTCCATAAGTGTGTGGGTTTATTTCTGGATCTTCTGTTCGATTCCATTGATCCACCATTCTGTTTCTATGCCAGTACCATGCAGTTTTTATAACTGTTGCTCTATAGTACAGCTCGAGATCAGGGATGGAGATACCTCCAGAAGATCTTTTATTGTAGAGGATTGTTTTAGCAATTCTCTGTTTCTTGTTATTCCATACGAAGTTGAGAATTTTTCTTTCCAGGTCTGTAAAGAATTGTGTTGGCAATTTGATGGGAATTGCATTGAATCTGTAGATTGCTTTTGGTAAGATGGGCATTTTTACTATGTTAATCCTGCCAAGCCATGAGCATGGGAGATCTTTCCATCTTCTCATATCTTCCTCTAATTCTTTCTTCAGAGACTTGAAATCCAACATCCATTCATGTTTAAAGTACTGGAGAGATCAGGGATACAAGGCACATATCTAAACATAGTAAAGGCGATATACAGCAAGCCTATAGCCAACATCAAACTGAACGGAGAGAAACTTAAAGCAATCCCACTGAAATCAGGGACAAGACAAGGCTGCCCACTGTCTCCATATCTCTTCAACATAGTGCTGGAAGTCCTTGCTAGAGCAATAAGAAAATCAAAGGAGATCAAGGGGATACAGATGGGAAAGGAAGAAGTCAAATTATCACTATTTGCAGATGATAGGATAGTATATATGAGTGACCCCAAAAACTCTACCAGGGAACTCCTACAGCTGATAAACACCTTCAGCAAAGTGGCGGGATACAAAATTAACTCAAAAAAAAAAAATCAGTAGCACTCCTGTATACAAAAGACAAAAGGGCTGAGAAAGAAATTAGAGTAACAACACCATTCACAATAGCCACAAATGACATAAAGTACCTTGGTGTAACCCTAACCAAGCAAGTCAAAGACTTGTATGAAAAAAAATTTCAAGTCTCTGATGATTGAGTTTTTATCATTGGCTCTTCTTAACTGATGTGTAATATTAGGCAAATGACCTAATAATTGTGACACTATATTTCTCTTGAAAAATTAGTGTGCTTAAGATTTTTTCTGTAGTATCATCTGGTAGTAACATTTAATGAATGGCAACTTTTAAAATCTATGTGTGTTAAATGGTTACTCTAAACAGAGGCCATTACATTATATATAGTTCATTCTGTATCAATAATGACCCTATTAGAGATGGCGAGGTTTCCCAGTGGAACAATCCTCTACTTATTAGGAACGGGTTTCAGACTCCAGAACCCAGGTAAGACAGATCTAGTAGTGTTCATCTGTGGTCCTAGTACTCAGGCGGAAAGATTGGAAACTGATAGAAGAGAATCCTCGGAAGCCTGGCCATTTAGCCAGGAATACACTGTAGCAAAAAGAGAGAGGGAGAGAGAGAGACCCTGCTTCAAACATTGTAGAAGGTATGGACTGACACTGGAAGTTGCCCTCTGACTTTCACACATGTGCAGGGGCACTTGCATACCCCAACTCTCACATTCAAATATGCGTTCACATTTGTATATCACGTACACAAACTATTCATGTGCATACACACAAACACAAAGACAAAAGGTGTTATTTTTCTTCATAATTCTCCCTCTGTTTTCTATTACTGGTTTTAAAGCCACTTTCTACAACACTTATTTACTGAGTCAGTCCAGAAATGCCCACCAGGGGCTTTCAATATCTAATGAGCATAATACATACTACTTTGTATTACTGTGCAATCTGTGTCTTGATATGAAGTACATTTAATTTAAATGGTTCTTGGAACTTTTTTTTTTTATCTCACAGAAAACAGGATCTACTACTATCAAGGTAGCTTTAAAGTGCTGAATATTCCATATGACAGAAATTATGAAAGGGAAACATCACTAGAAAGTAACTTCCTCAGTAAAATCCTCGAGACTAAAGTAAGCTAGATTTTTTTTTGTATCTGTTAACTGCTTAAAGTATAAATATATTATTGAAATTTCATGGTTAACTGTATGTTTTTTCTTAACAGATGGTCGATGCCTTTCAAAGTTCTAACATTTACAGACAATATATCAACTCTCAGATCATCACATTGTTGTAAGTAGCTATCACTAATCAACAGAAAAAAAAAGACAAAGATATCATACATATTATTATACTTCAAGTACTCCAGAGAAGATGAATCCAGAATCTTCTGGTATGTCACAGCCACTGCCAACCATGATTAAGCACTGACATTATCATACATGTCAGCATAATTGTTCAATACCAAAGCAAAAATTGTGCCTTTATGGTGGAGTTCATTAGGTTTAAGGGAATACATGGATGGTTTAACTACATTTGTCTTATCCTTCTCATTTCCTAAGTATTCATAGCCACAACCATTAGATGCTCCCTCTAAGCCAATTGTTTGCTCCTCTCTTGGTTTTATTAATGAGTACCAAAAATACAGATTCTGTTTTCTCCTGTCTTTCTAATTGTCAGCTAACTGTCTTTTAAAACTGATCTTGGGGCGCTTCTTAAATAGGGTGGAAAAAAATCACATCTGTATCAGGCTTTGATGCCACAAAAGGCTTTCACACGTCATAAAAAAGAATTATCTGTTCCCTGCACATAGGTTTAGTGTAGAAAAGAGTATCAGAGGGAGCCTTAGCATTGGCACTGTTCAACTTGAACCCAGATTTTATAATTTAATAGCACCAGAGCTTTAAGAGAGCCACATGACCACATTAGTCTATCTCTGTCTTATGCAATATCAATGACAATAGCTTTCTCGTCTTTGTCATAAACCTCTATGCAATATAAAAACTAGTGTATGTTCCCCATGGGTTATGTCTAAGCAGTGGGCTAGGTCCTCTCCATGCATAGTCCTTGGTTGATTCATCAATCTCTGCAAGACCTGCTGGGCCCAGAATTTTTGGCTCTGTTGATCTCCTTGTGGAGCTCCTGTCCCTTCTAGGTCTTTCTATCCCCCCCTTCTTCCATAAGATTCCCTTCCCTGCACTCTGCCCAAAGTTTGGCTATGAGTCTCAGCATCTGCTTCCATACCCTGATGGGCAGAGTCTTTCAGAGGACCCCATGGAAGGCTCCTGCTCTGTTCCTTGTCTTTTCCTACTTCTGATGTCTATCCTGTTTTCCCTTCTGAATGAGGACTAAGCCTCTTCCCTAGGGTCCTCCTTGTTTAGCTTCTTTAGGACTATGGGCAGCTCAGTCTCCATGTGGGTTCCCTAGTAAGGAGAGCAGAGGCAGTCGTTGGCATGAACTTGGTTGCCTGCTTTTTGATCATCTCCCCCTGGTGAGGTGGCCTTACTAGAACACAGAGAAAGAGGATCCAGACAGTCCTGATGAGACCTGATAGGCTAGGGTCAGATAGTAGGAAAGGAGGACCTCCCCTATCAGTGGACTAGGGGAAGGACATGGGGGAGGGAGAAGGAGGGGGAGTGAAACTGGGAGGAGATGAGGTAGGGACCATAGCCAGGATACAAAATGAATAAACTGTAATAAATAATAGTAATAAAGACAAAAAATTAAAAAATAGTGTGTGTAGAAATATTTGCAAATAAACACATTTGAAATGAAAGTGAACATTGTTTTTACTTTGACCGATGACCCTAATGTTCACCTTTCTTCCCAGGTTCCTGGGCTCATGGGACTCCTAGAACTGTAGAATAGATTAAGGCTCCTGTTAGCATTAACCTGGGGTTAATTTTATTATTGGGTCAAAATATAAAACTTAGACTGATTTGAAGGGCCCACATAACTCCCTTAGGTGACTGAAAAAGTACACATATGCATTAATGTATGTGTGTGTGTTTGTGTTTCTGTTTTGTTTTATTACACATGCTTGGAATTCAGGTGTCTGTAGGTAGCAAGAGTCCAGACAAAGTAAAGAAGAGGCCACAGGACACTGCCTCTCTTGGCATGTACAGCTACACAAACCAAATTCACATGAATTTGGAATTATTGGTTTATACACACAACATTAAAGTTCCTCCAGACACTCTCCCAAGGGATAACATGTAATATCTATACATCCATTATTAAGTCTTTCAGCTTGTCGCTTATTTCCTAAGCCACATAAGTCTTCCTCGAACACCATAGTCAAATTACTTCAAGGTCAGTTTTACTTATTTTGTCATTGTCGCTGTGTACTGGCTAGCATTAAGAACCTTCTCAGTCTAAGGCAAATCTTCCAGAGACTGGGCAAGAAGGCATAGGGTAACAATGTGTAGTGTAAAGAATTCAGAGTATAGGATCTATCATCTGCACTAGGTAAAATTCCTACTTTTGTAGTGGCATACCCCTGACTACATTACATAATCTCTCAGGTACTGTGTTTGTCCTTGTTCATAAAATCAGATAACAATCCTTTTACTGTAGAGCAGTAAAGGTGATGAAACATACACCAATAAATGTTACAACAAAGTATAACAAAGTGTAACAAAGCACTAACTAATAAATGCTAATTAATGTCATTACCAACGGTTACTCTATGATTTGGCTCTCCTATATCAGCTTGATGAAAAGTTCAGTTTGATGATCAAATAGTAATAAAAGTACCTTAATGTCCTGTTGTATATCAATGCTTATGTGAACTTTTTCTTTAACTCTAAGTAAGAATTATGTGTAACTCCTCCAAGTAGCTCTAGCTAAGATAAATACATTGCCACTTCTGCCTCATAGGTTGCAATTTTCTTCACATATGCCTTATCTCTTATAAAAGTCTGAAAATTTCTAGAGTGTAGGAGCTATGCCTCAGCAATAACTCAGTGAAGCTCGGCAAAGTTGCACATCTATAGCAATTGTCCAATAAATGGCTGACGAATGCATAGATGTGTCTCAGCTCGGTGATCATCTTTCCTGGTATCTCAGGCTAGTTCTATTTCTTAAGGATATATAGAATTGCATGTCCTCCAAGATGCATAGCATAGCTGTATACATTCAGTTGGCACATACATGTAGGTATATGGCAAACTGAAAGCTTCATCTAAAGTGATGTTACTGTACAAATCCATAAAGAGGGGACAAGAACAAGTTATGAGAGATCAGAGGAGGAAATGGTAGATTAAACACTGTATTAAAACTTTACATTTTTTCCCCAGTCCTGATAACAACAGCGTGACAGCCCATATATGGCTGGTGTTTAAGGATCCTTTGTCAGAGAAGGAAAACTTAAGAAGGAGAATTGAAAGCATCTTATATCGGATGCTAGAGAACCACTCAGGATCCCTGACTATGGATTCTGGGTCTCTGAAGCTCATGGGTAAGCTTACCTATGGATGAGAGCAGTGTCTGTATCATTTTGTGCCTAGGACATGACAGAAACACCAAGCACAGAACTATCTTTACTATAATTTGAAATGAATATCATCTTAGATCAGAGATTCATTCATTTCCTAGTAGTGCTACACTTTGTAGCTTCTTAGAACAAAAAGGGATGGTTTGCCATTTTACAGTAGATATTAATACATCTAGTAAACATGGTAAGTGATGTTGTGTACTGTTCTTATTTTCTTTGATGTATGAAAATTAACACTAGATTTGCACTTTTAATTCTTGCCACCTTTTTAGAAGTTGTTTTTATATATGACATGGATGGATCAGATTCACTTATGGAACTTACTCTTATTTCAAGAGAAGATAGTCCCAATTTTTGATAATACACGATGTGGATTATAGCTCCAGTTAATGAAAATGTAATTTCATTATATCTTATGAATATGGTATGAATATGGTACTTTAATACAATGTATTCAAATGTAACAGAAGAAAAATTCTAATAAGCCAGTCCTTTCTTTTCTATGATACTTTCTTTTTAATGCTAAATTACTGCTGGACCCTCTGGTATGAGGGAAATGCTATCCTTATTGCCCAGATTAAATTTACTGTGGACTTTTTGCTCTATTTCAGAAATCAATAAGGTTGATGCTGAGAAGATTATCAATAGCCGTAAGTTTTCAAATCCCTTTTCAGTCAAGCATGAGGTAATCTAAACAGCAACACTCAATATTAACCATGCTACAATCATGGTTGAGCAAATGTCCTTGTGGTGTACTTGAGCCTCTTTTGGATACTACTTAACAATTTAAAACAAGGAAATCATGAAATTTGCAGGCAAATGGTGGGAACTAGAGAAGATCATCCTGAGTGAGGTATTCCAGAAGCAGAAAGACATACATGGTATATACTTACTTATGAGTGGATACTAGACATATAATATATAATAAACATACTAAAATCTGTATACCTAAAAAAGGTAAGCAAGAAGGAAGACTCTTGGTAAGATGATAAATTCTCACTCAGAAAGGCAAATGGGTTGGACATTGCAAGAAGGAGAAAAAAAGGGAACACGACAGGAGCCTACCGCAGAGGGCCTCTGAAAGACTATCCAGGAGAGTATCAAAGCAGATGCTGAGACTCATAACCAAACTTTGGGCAGAATGCAGGGAATCTTAGGAAAGAAGGGGGAGTTAGTAAGACCTGGAGAGGACAGGAGCTCAACAAGGAGAGTAACAGAACCAAAATATCTGGGTACAGGGGTCTCTTCTGAGACCTGTAGTCCAATCAAGGATCCTGCATGGATATAACTTAGAACCCTTGCACAGATGCAGCCCATGGCAGCTTAGTATCCAAGTGGGTTCCCTAGTAAGAGTAACAGGTACTGTCTCTGACTTGAACTCAGTGGCCTGCTCTTTGATCACCTCCCCCTGAGTGGGGAACAGCCTTGACAGAACACAGAGGAAGACAATGCAGCCAGTCCTAATGAGACCTGATAAGCTAGGGTCAGACAGAAGGGGAGGAGGACCTCCTTATCAGTAGACTTGGAGAGAGGCATGGGAGGAGATGAAGGAAGGAAGGCTTGGGAGGGAATAAGGGAAGGGACTACAGCCAGGATATAAAGTGAATAAACTGTAATTAATATAAAAAATAAAAATTTAATTAAAAAACATATTGCCACAATTAGTTTGAGGCCAGTTAGAAGCCAAGATAAGCTAAGAGAATCCAATTTGAATGAGTCATCTTGGAGAGGAGTTTAGGCCAGAAGAATTGAGCTGAACTACTGAATGAGAGTTCAGAAAGAGCTAGAATGGCTTGAAAATGGCTCTCATCTCATCCTCCATCTGAGGAAATAAAGATAATATTTACAGAGAGATTCCTGTGCCTGCTGGTGTTTCCTGTATGAATGATTTTTTTCCTATTCAGTGTTGGATGTGACAGCATCGGCTATAACCAACCAGAACTGCTGAAAACTCAGTGCAGTTTTTATATTGTCAACAAATACTTTTTTATTCTTTTGTTTATTTTTATTTTTTTATATTAATTACAGTTTATTCACTTTGTATCCCTGCTCTAGCCCCCTTCCTTATTCCCTCCCAATCCCACCCTCCCTCCCTCATCTCCCATGCCCCTCTCTTAAGTCCACTGATAGGGGAGGTCCTCCTCCCCTTCCATCTGACCCTAGCTTATCAGGTATCATCAGGACTGGCTGCATTGTCTTCCTCTGTGTTCTGGCAAGGCTGTTCCCCACTCAGGGGGAGGTGATCAAAGAGCCAGCCACTGAGTTCAAGTCAGAGACAGGCCCTGTTACTCTTACTAGGAAATCCACTTCGATACTGAGCTGCCATTCTTAATGAAACCAAACTGACTGTTTCTGAAGGCTGCGGGAGACGACCAAGAATGTCAGCAACCTATGACAGAATCAAGGGAGGTTCCACTGCCCACGAAGGAGAATGGCCATGGCAAGCGAGTCTCAGAGTGAACGGTAGACACCACTGTGGGGCATCACTCATTGGTGAACGATTTCTGCTCACAGCGGCTCACTGCTTTCAAAAGTAAGGTTCCCTAAGGTTAGGAAACCCCAAGGAGCTGGGCAGTCTTTGTCTTAGGCAATTGTCTTCCTTCCTCTTGAGTGCCTGTTTGAAAGGCCAGTTCCTGAGAAGCTTATCTCAGAGTTTCCTACTTTACTAGTAAAGATAGGAAAAGCCATTCATTTTTTTTATTGATTTTTATGCTGTTGATTTTTTATATACTTTTTTTCCAAACATGAGTCTTATTTCTCAACACTTTATGCTTTAGGTCCTAACACTGGCAGTTGCTAAAACACCGCATTGTATGTCTTCTCTCCTTCCATCCTATCACATGGCTACCCAAGTCTTATGTTCACCTAGGCAACTATGATTCAGCCTAAAATTCTGTGTTCTTTAGAAGTAAAAAGTTCCTTTCCCATAAGCATGCAGATTTATTTCCTTCTATTTATCAGTCTCATTAATTATGTGCATAAGACTTAAACACTTATAATTACCTGTGCGCATGCCTAACGTGCATTAAATTTAAGCCCTTTAAAGGGCATAGACTGTATCTCTATATCTAGTGTACTGTGAAGTGATTCAAACAAGGTGCTTTGAAAATGAATTTGAAAAGCAGACTACATGGAGCTGAGGAGATGGATCAGCAGTTAAGAGAACTTGCTGAGGTATCGAATTTAGTTCCTAGTACCCACACGGCCATTCCCAGTTGTCCATAACTACAGTTTCAGGGGATCTAATACCATCTTCTCATCTCCAAGTGCTCAAAACATTTGTGTGGTGCACAGAAATATATACGAGCGGAATACTTATACAGATAAAATAGATAAATCAGAAACAAAATAAAAAATCTACTCTGTCATTGCCATGGGAATGAAACAAAATAAAAAAATCTACTCTGTCATTGCAAGGAAATCTTGATGCCATGAAACATGGCAGATGAAGACTTTCTATGTGCTATAAACTGTGGTATTTTCTGTCATTTCAAACTAAATACAAACATATGTGTTTTTTGTTCCCTTAGGACAAAAAATCCAAAAAACTTAACTATTAGCTTTGGCACTAAAGCAACCCCACCCTACATGCAGCATTACGTTCAAAAGGTTATTATTCATGAGGACTACGTTACGTGGGACCATCGCAACGATATCGCAGTTGTCCTGCTCACCGGAAGAGTTTCATTCAAGAACGATGTCCATCGGGTGTGTCTGCCGGAAGCCACACAGATTTTTCTACCAGGGGAAGGAGTCGTCGTTACAGGATGGGGAGCACTCTCACACAATAGTGAGTTGGGTGAAGCGCACAGCATAAGACACAAGCGCAGAGTGAAGGGTGTGGAGAGCACCGTTTTATCTCTGGGTGCCCGATCCCTTCGGGCCACCTCTCAGGAAAGACTGCACAGGTCCTTGCAAGCTGCGAGGGTTTGAAACATTCTAAGGAGAGCAGTTTAGATGTAGGAATTATCTGTCCTGTAGAAACTAACAGAAAAAAATATCTGGACCAGTGGTGTAAGAACGAGGGGGAAAACATTCGAGAACACTTGAAGGGTGGTTTTTTTTTTTTTTTTTTAATGAATATTTTGAACATTTCTTTTTCATTATTTTGAGGGAGAGAGAAGTGTGTTTATCCTTAAAAGGGGCAAGAGTCAAATAACAGCCGTATGCATAGAAGACTATTGTTAATATCAGAAATGACTAAATATAGGTTTATTCTTCTTTAGTAGAAATAGCCTGCCCAAGCCAAATACTGTTTTGATGAGGTCACAAATGGGAGACAGCAGTAAAGATTCAAATGAATCTGAGTATGGTGATACACACCTGTAATCTGACCATGCTTATCAGGTTCCCAGGTTCCCGGAGGCTGTTTTGCTGACATGTTGATTTCCTTTAGGCAAATCCCCATTGTTACTTCAGAAAGCACCTGTTAAAATTATTGACATGGACACGTGCAATGCTGAGGGAGCTTACGGGGGCAGGATAGCAGACACGATGCTCTGTGCTGGCTACATGGAAGGCAAAATTGACGCTTGCCAGGTAGGTCTGGAAATCATTCTTAAGGACCACATAGTATATCAACAACATGAGCTTAACATTTTGTTAAGCTCATGATTATGGAGTTCATTCTGTTCTTCATTTAGGTGTGCTTTGACAGTCCTGTCAGCCACCCTCTAAGGTGATTATTTCCTACAGGTAGCCTGTGTTTACAAGTATTCAATAAATGCTGATGATAGATTTTCTCTGAATTGAGTTTTGTCCTAGAAATTCACAGGTACTAATTCATTTAATTCTCATTATAACTATGATGTAAGAACTGTTATTCTCATTTCACAGATAAGAAAATGGAGGCATTTAGAGTTAGTAGGTGGTAGAATTGTGCACAATTTTGGGTTGTCTCAAATCACAGTGTGTTCTTTTAGCCATAGGTCAGAAAAAGATTATCAGGCCAGTCTCAAACTACTCTTATTTTATCTCTCATGAATAAAGTCCTTGCTATTTTCTCAGATACAAAACTCTGAATTTCCTAAAAACTTTCTCAAGAACTAGTTTGTAACTTTTCAGTTCATACTTTCAAATTCTCAAAAAGAGAAGCAGGGAATACATGTTGATCAGTATTAACAGAGGTTAGGAATGCATAGGGATTTAAATCACACATCTCTCCTGGATCTCAATGAAGCACCAATAAATCACAACGTCATCTGGAACATCATTGCCTGTAGCTAATCTGTCTGAGAGGAACCTTCAGAATGATGAATGTTCTTCGCTTTATTTAGGGTGACTCCGGAGGACCACTAGTGCATCCCAATTCTAGAGATATCTGGTACCTTGTTGGCATAGTGAGCTGGGGAGATGAATGCGGCAAAATCAATAAGCCAGGGGTCTACACAAAAGTGACTGCCTACCGTGACTGGATTGCTGCCAAGACCGGTATCTAGTGAAAAGTCATCTTCTAGTAATGCATGCAGATCATTGCTGCCTGGTACTCCTATTATTTAAAATCCATTTCTTTACTCGTTTTTTTTTCTATTTTGTGTGTGTGTTTGCATATATGTGGGTACGTGTGTGTCTGTGCCCATGCATGCAAGTGTGTGTGGATATAGAAGCTCAGGTTGATGTTAAGAATGACCCTCAGTAATTTCGTTGAATGCACTGCGTCAGGGTCTTGGTCAAACCAAGAACTTCTAGATGTACCCTGTCTTACTAGTCAGGTTGCTGTTGGGACCTCCTGCTTTGTCATCTAAGGGTGGAAGTACAGACAGGCATCTATGCCCATCAAGCATTTATGTGCCCTCTAGGGATTCCAATTCCATTCCTTAGGCTTTCATGCTAAGATGAGGGGAAGACTGAGATGTTTCTGGAAGTAGCATTGGGGGCAGAGAGGAAGTTGTCAGTATCAGAGACCAGAAGAAAGACAGTTAGGCATGCTGGGTCTATAGGAAGGTGCTTTATAAGAGAAAATATTAATAGCTGGCCATGTGCTCCCACAGTTCCTAGATATGAGCACAGTGCATTGATTATGAGGCACAAGACTCTACCATCAAGTGACTTCAACCAAATAATCTTGAAAAATAAAATTCTTAACCAGCATTTTATGAAATCTTCATTTATTGACTTCATGGGTTCTTATAAGACTTTAAATTTTTATTTAAGATTCAGCGACTTAGACTGGATTTAGAAGAGAATTTTTTTTTGTTTTCTTTTTATAAAAACAATACTAGTTAAGCACATGCTTTTCCACTGTGCATTTTTTTTTTTTTTACAGATTTTTTTTTCCTTACTAAATAATGGTTTTATGTTACCTGGTCTTAACAATTTTCTACATTTTCAAAAATCTTGAATGTGTATGTATCATGTCTAGCTACACAATGCAATTGTCACAAAGTTTAATAAATTAAGCATTTATTACCAGTTCTCTCTCTCGTGGGCATATGTTAGCACATCCAGGTTATAAATTTACTTTTGAGCGCTAGTTTTAGACCTCTCATGTCACACACAATTCCACTTTCTTAAGCTATTCAAAAACCAATTCTCTTAAAGTAGCTCTGACATATTAAACAATAATGTTTAACAACAGTTGAGTTTTTTTTTCTGTGTGTCAAGAAATGATTCTAAAGACCCTATCCCAATTAATGCTCTGTCTATTCTATAAAGGAAACTGTTAGCCTAACTTTACAGATAAAAAAATCTGAAACACAAAGAGGTTAACAACCTTCTCCCAAAGTACAAAGCAATGCTCACCCTGTCCTATGTCCAGTGGGTTCCAGATGTAAAAGCATTTTTTATTTACCTTATCCAGTTGTCTCCATCTACCAATCTAGAAGCTTCTAGCCTTTGTACAATCTTACCTAGGCCTAGAATATTTTTAGCCTTTGAGACTCAATGCTGAATAAGCTCACCCTTTCTAGTTCTTTCTGATCTCTGGCTGGCTTGTTCAACTCAGCTGTTTGGCTCAAACTCCTCTCCAAGCTCACTGATTCAAATGAGCTTCTCTTACTTCTGCCTGAATTGTTCTGCTTGCCCTAAAACTAACTTTAGCAGTGTGTTCTAATCTTCTGGCTCCTTCTCATTCTCTTGTTTATTCTGTCTCCACCTGTGTTCAGCTTTCCCTTTTTCTGCAACATGTCACTGTACAACTGTTTCTGTAAAACTGTCTCCTCTCTCCTCCTCCCTCTGTCCCTGTCTCTCTTCTTCTGCACTGCTGTCCTTAAGTTGCCTTTGTTTCCTCTCTGTTCTCATGAGAATTAGGCATATCCTGTTCTGTCAAATCTTTCTCTGATTCATCATTTTGTCTGCATCTTAATTAGTCATCACTTTTAAAACATGTTTGCTTCCTTCTACAAACCTTCCTTCTACAAACCAACATTACCTTCGTTGTTATGAATTTGAGGTGTGTGTTAAGGGCATGTCTGCTTTTCAGCCAGATCTCACAGACCTAGAAAGTCTCTGGAAGTGATAAGAGCAGCCATGTTACTGGGTTAAAATTCCTCTACATAGCCCTAACAGTCACAGAAGTCCTGATAAGAAAGCAGCTCTGGCAAGATGTTTGGACATTTCATATTTTTGTGTGTATGTTGTGGTATGATTTTATTTTTGTTTATTTGTTTGCCTACTTGATTTTTAAAAGATGATATTCCTTATAGCTTTGGGTAATACCTAATAATATCAAGAAATTCATACTAGAAAAATGACACCAATACCCTACTGACAGTAAACTGAATATTAAAACTGAAAAACATTTAAAAGTTAAGTTAAATAGGACTGAGAAATGCCACTGGGATTACGGATATTGGAAAAAAGCCAGTTTTTTTTTCTAGAAAATCACTAGTTCTAATTCCAGCTGTGGAAAGAACAAAATGTATCCACACAGTAAATAGTAGAGAGATCTGAGAACCAACCAGGGTGGTGAGCCGGAAGTGTCACACTGCACTTCCAGAACAAAGAACCGAAGTCTGAAATAGATTTCACTGTGATACAAAGATCAGTATCGGTGACTGGTGAGCTCAGTATTTCACTAAAGCGAGTAGAATGGGAAAGAATCACTGTGCTGAAAAGAGAAGCACTTACAACCACAGAAATAGGTGTGCCGTCATCTCAGGAGAAAAATGTTCCACAACGTGGCTTGGTAGTGAACCTCTCCTGTGTAGAAATGTGAATTAGAGTAGAAAGGAAAGGTAGAAAAACAGAGTTTATTTTTGATGGGGTTTGTTTTGATGACATTATTAATGATTTTTATTTTCTCCAGCCTGTCGAATTTTCCATAATGAGATGAGGCACTATACAACAGGAATTTTTTGTTATGCAATGATATAAGTGTAAAGGACACACTTCCCAAGCCACAGGTCGTTAGGTAGTAAGGGCTGTTCTTGAAGATGGTGAACATATTTCATCCACAATCACTGTGTCTTGTGGATGGAATCAAAGCTCAAAGAGGTTTGACTTTTTTTTTATTAGACGATTTTGAAAAGCTCTTTGATTCTATAGCAACAAAGAACTGAAAGAATGTGATAGTGATTCTTTTAAAATTTTTTTACTGTCAACTACGTTTTACTTTGTTGTATTTTGCTTGTGTGTTTTTCTTTTGCCCCTTTAAATTTTAATGCACGATAGGTTTGTTACTCATTCTTGTTTTCCACAAATATGCTTGCACAATTGGTATTGAGTTCTTATAAATTAAATTATATTTTATAAACCAGATTATACTATAATGAATGTGTTAGTTTGAATTATTTTTCTGCGTGTACATTCTCACATTTGTTTAAAGGTTAAGCCTTTAACCTGGCTTCAGGTTCTGTATTTTTTCTTGTACAAGCAGAACATAGTCACGTCTTATCATTTCCTACTGCAGAGGGCGCTAAAACACAAGTATCAAGATTAGTTTTCCTATGATGTCAGACTTCTGTACTGTAAATTGAATTAATTAATTAAAATAAAAAAAGAAGAAAAGTCACACCAAGAAGCTGAACATCCAATGCTTTCTGATCTTCATTTCAGCTAATAATGGACAGTGAAAAAATGTTTTATGCACATTTATCAGTTTGAATCAAAGTCAATCTTTTATTAAAGACATTTCTATCCTTTTCCCCCAGTGTGAAATGTTCTGAAAGTAGCACAACAGGGATCAGAGTAAAAATCAGTAACTTTGAGCTTGTAATCGTTTAAATTTTTTTATTATATTATGTATGTGTGCATCTTATGTGCACGGTGTTTTGCCTGCATCCATGTCTGTGTGCCACATGTGTGCCAGTGACCACGGAGGTCAGAAGACAGCATCAGATACCCTGGGGCCTGGAGTGACAGATGGTTATGAACTCCCAGGGATTGAACCCAGTTCCAGAAAAGCAGGCAGCGCCAAACCACTGAACTATCTCTCTAGCCCTTATAATTGTATTCCAATATCTGATTCTTTGTGATAAGTTCCCTGAAAGAGCACAAGTTTAGCTTTTAAACATCCTCAAAGATTTATACACACGTGAGGAATTTGTCCAGTGGAGATCTATAGAGATGCTCTTCGCATGCAATACTTTTCCAGGTTAAACCAATTAATGAACAATAAAACCCTAGAGGAGTGCAGTCCTTCCGAAACTCTGTAACATGAAAGCCCTGAGTATTCCACTGTTTGTCAGCCATCACAAAGACCTTTATCTGATTTTTAAAATTAGGAGTTGCAGATTTTGTCATGTATAAGAGTCAAATTATAAAAGGACCCAAGCTGCAAGAGGAGCTATTCCCATTTAAAATTTATTTATTTATTTACCTTACATCTTGATCGCAGCTTCCCCTCTCTCTCCTTCCAGTCACTCCCTCTCACCTCCTCTCCATCCCATCTACCCCTCCCGCCCTTCTCCTCAAAATTGGGGAGGCTTCCCATGGGTATCAACCAGCCTTGGCATATCAAGTTTCAGTAAGACTATGTGTATCTTTTTCTATTGAGGCTAGACATGGCGGCCCAGTTAGGGAAAAGAGACCCAAGGGAGGCAATATATTCAGAGACAGCTCCTGCTCCTGCCTCAGGGGTCCCAAAACAATACCCAGCTGTACAGCTCTTACATATGTGATGTGGGCATAGGTCCATCTCACGCATGCTCCTTTGTTGTCTCTATGAGCCCCTATGGGTCCAGATTAGTTGATTCTGTAGGTTTTCTTACGGTGCTCTTGACTGCTCTGCCTCCTTCTATCCTTCCTCCACCTCTCCCATAGGACTCCCTAAGCTCCACCTAATGTTTTCCCGTGTGTCTCTGCATCTTTTCCATCAGTTCCTGGGTGAAGCTTCTCTGATGAGGTATGCTAGGCTCCTGTCTGCAAATACAGCAGAGTATCATTAATGGTGTCAGGGTGGGCTCTCTCTCATGGCATGGTCTCAAGCTAGCTAGGCCAGTCACTGATTGGCTCTTCCCTCAAATTCTCTTCCATCTTTTATCATGTACATGTTGTAGGC